GGATCATGATTAGTTTCGGACAGGTTCTGAGAGTACATCTGAACATCATTCGATGTTTACTCGTTTAAATTGATAACTTTTTTGAAATCCCTTTCACTTGTCAAGGTCGAACGACGTTTCCTTCGTTGCATGATTTTGCATTGAGTAATTACGCTTCTCAAACGATATCATCTACAAAATTCTAGGAACAACTGAACAAGGAGACTCTTAAAAGACAGTATGAGATTGTCAAAGGAAAAACCAATATGAGTCATGTGATGCATTATGGCGACCTTTCGATTGCTAACGAATTCGTTGCCGATTTCCAAGGATGGAAGAAGGGACCTGAACAATTCGTACCTGATTATGAGGTCAATTAAGAGCTTTGTCCATCTAAAAGAACAATTTGCAGATGTCCATAGCTTTTAGAATTCAAAAGAAAATAATACTTACTGGCAGCAAACATCCTTTGATTACTTCCAGTCAAAGACTGGGGTGTTAACTGAACTAACGAGAATCTGAAACACTTGAATCAATGTCTACATTAATCAACGTCATCAGTTGGAAGTTAGCGTTAACGATATGTAAAAATTTCGTAGAACATATTGATGAAACCCAGGTGAAGATTCAAATGTGCTTCTTTCAGAAAAATGAGGGAGGCGCATGGCCATCGCGTGATATTCCACTGTTGATGCTTGAAAAACAGTATCAAGAGGAGGATGGCATGCATCAGAAGTTCGAAATAAGACGGCAGATTCGTAAACTTGAGCGTGTACGTTTCTTATCGCTTTGTTAATCATGAAAAACGAGCGATGAATCTTAAAGAATTGATCATTTAACTGCTTTTATCATGGAATCGTCTTAAGTAATCAAAATTTAAAGTCAGTGTTTATCAATTCAGTGAAGGTATTTGTTTGAAATTTGCTAAGGATACCCGTGATTAAGACTGAAGCTGAAATTCAAGATGAAATACGGTGAATGATGTTCAGTAAACATGAATAAGGAGTGGTTTACCTTTGATATATGACTTCAAAAATTTGAAATTCAAATATATCAGTGGATTCTGTGTAATGGTTGCATTGGATTAATGGATCAGATTTGAATCAGATAAATCAACAATGCGTATCTGGATATGGAGACAATTTCAGAAGCGTGAATATTTGCACAACTTCATGAAGAAGTTGGTGGAGAGGATCATTCATGATCCAGTGCAACAACGACGAATCATGAACGTTCATCCTGAAACGATAAATGACTTTCAGTGCCACGATAAATTGCTGAAAGCATTTCATAAGATTTGCTTCAACCTCGCGAAAGTAAGTTCACTTGAGAAGAACAATTTGCTTTTGGCTCATTCAATTCAATAGGAATTTTAACATGTTCTGGGACGTTTCAACGTAACAGTTGTATCTGTTGAAAATATTGAAAAGTTTCAAAACAAAATGTCGTAAAAAGCAACTGTTGTTATATATTACTTGAGGAAATGTAACCAAAAGTATTTCGATACAACTGACAAAAAACTAGTTATCATCCAATAGATTTTATCCATTTAATCAAAAACTGATTTTAGACCGACTCATCAAAAATAACGAATTAGATTGAGCACGTAGAAGTGCACCACTT